TCTGCCTGCCTTAACGCCAGGGCCCTTCCGCATGTGAGGTGCCTGGGACAGCTGCTGCACTACAGAAGCACCAGCTCACACACGCAGGAAAGGAGAAGACGAAGCCCATCAACATACAAGCCAGATGAGAAAAAGGAAATTTTAGTTACCACAGCTACCTCCCAGAAGCTGTTTTCCATTGAGAAAATCTTGAGAAAAGAGGCACACAGAAGAAGAAAATTACAGAGCTACGGCTCCGAAGGGCTCTACCTCCTGTCCTGAACTCAGAATTAGTGGTGGTTTCCATATGGCAGCCTGCAATATGTCAGAGTGATCCCTTAGCTGGCATCAGTACCAGAAAGAGATTAGGAACAAGAGCTAATTCATTCAGTTTTTCTCTTTACAGCTGAAGGGAGGAAAAAAAAAAAAAAACCGTAAAGAACTTCAGGAAAGGAAAAGAAAGCAAAACCATTCCCTTCAATTTTAAGGATTCTGGAAGCATGTAGCTCTGGATCCCCCTCGAACTGCAGAGTTCTTGTGGGTACAGCTGAGCTTCACACTTGCACATTAACTCTGTTCAAAACAAAGGGATTATACAAAGTGCTTAGCTCTAAACAAATAGCCTGAAGTTCTCCAACAGCTGATCTTTTTAACATTTTAAGTACTGTGTCCCACAACCAGGACAACTGAACTGCCTCTAGTGAAATCAGTCAAGTCCCCTCACCCTCACATCACCTCAGGAAAGGTTGTTTAAGGCACTTAGCAAACACAGAGATTATGCTAACTGAAATACAACTCCCCAGACAATTTTGATTGCATACCAGGAGTTCATCCATGCTCGTCTGACACTTCTCAAGATTGATCCGTTTAATTGCCACCTTCTATTTCTGCCTGGCTTAAATCCAGGGACCTTCCACATGTGAGGTGACTGTGACAGCTGCTGCACTACAGAAGCACCAGCTCACACACGCAGGAAAGGAGAAGACGAAGCCCATCAACATACAAGCCAGATGAGAAAAAGGAAATTTTAGTTACCACAGCTACCTCCCAGAAGCTGTTTTCCATTGAGAAAATCTTGAGAAAAGAGGCACACAGAAGAAGAAAATTACAGAGCTACGGCTCCGAAGGGCTCTACCTCCTGTCCTGAACTCAGAATTAGTGGTGGTTTCCATATGGCAGCCTGCAATATGTCAGAGTGATCCCTTAGCTGGCATCAGTACCAGAAAGAGATTAGGAACAAGAGCTAATTCATTCAGTTTTTCTCTTTACAGCTGAAGGGAGGAAAAAAAAAAAAAAACCGTAAAGAACTTCAGGAAAGGAAAAGAAAGCAAAACCATTCCCTTCAATTTTAAGGATTCTGGAAGCATGTAGCTCTGGATCCCCCTCGAACTGCAGAGTTCTTGTGGGTACAGCTGAGCTTCACACTTGCACATTAACTCTGTTCAAAACAAAGGGATTATACAAAGTGCTTAGCTCTAAACAAATAGCCTGAAGTTCTCCAACAGCTGATCTTTTTAACATTTTAAGTACTGTGTCCCACAACCAGGACAACTGAACTGCCTCTAGTGAAATCAGTCAAGTCCCCTCACCCTCACATCACCTCAGGAAAGGTTGTTTAAGGCACTTAGCAAACACAGAGATTATGCTAACTGAAATACAACTCCCCAGACAATTTTGATTGCATACCAGGAGTTCATCCATGCTCGTCTGACACTTCTCAAGATTGATCCGTTTAATTGCCACCTTCTCCTTCTTTGGAATGCAGAAGGCTGCCTGCACCACTGCAGTCGCTCCACTCCCTGTGGGTGAAAAAGAGGGTTAGCAACATCTTACTGGACTTCAGCAGAAAGGAAGGGAGGTCAGACAACAAAATTGCGAGTGCCAGTCAGTAAAGACAGCAGAGCTAGGGGAAAAGCCGGTGAAGGCAACTCCACAGGACCTCCCCACTCCACGTCTGTGCAACGCAGCGGGCCAGCTCAGCTGCAGCGTTGAAGTACTGGGCTAACCGAACAAAAACAAGTGGATCTCTGATCCCTTGCAGGGATCATTAAAGCCCTGCAGACAGAAAAAAAAGAAAAAAATCCAGACTCTGGCTTACTTATAACAGAGGAGTGATTCTTCTCGTGTGCTTTTAAAAGAAAGGCCCCTGAGGTCACACAGACTTTTCACCTGATGCATTCACCTGAAGTGTCGAAACAAGCCACGCTCCTCGCTACCAACACTAATGGGATTTTTCAAATATTTTTATGTACTAATTGCTGTTCTCGTCTCTCCTCATTTTATGCAAAGACACGAGGTAGGCTTCATTCAAGCCTGTTCAGCTCCAGTTCTCACGTAGTAGCACACCGCCACAGTGTCTGGGTTGAAAACCACAGCCAGAGAACGTTTAAATTCCAACAGGGAAAAAATACCACATTTTAAGGTACAGTTGTTCAAACTGCTAGAAGTGGGGATAAGAGTTCTAGATTTAAACTGCTCAGCAATATCCTTTGATATCAAAAGGAGTTTGCAACAGTGAGACTTAAAATCTAGTTGATGTTAATCCCGTATTTCTTGGACTTCAGAAATAGTTGCAACATTCACATCTCATCAACAGGACACCTTGTTGCTTTACTTTCTACCTTCATCTTGGTTCCCCGCATTTACACACTTCACTGGAAAGGAATAAATTCAAATTAATAGAAAAGGGGGTAGGATAGGTGGAAAATAGCTCAAGAGCTTCCTATTGCCAATACCTAACAAAATGCTATTAAAAATAAACTCACAGCTATTTTGTTCATTATCCCAGGCAAAACTCTTGAGCCTGTTTGGGCTGATAAGGGAGACAAGAACAGTTATTCTGCATCTTGGAATAACACACCTATTTTACCAGATTCTCCTGTTCTTAATGCTATAAAAACTACTTCCAGATTATGCAATACAAGCACATTTTTGCAAACTTTTTTTTTTCCTAGTATGTTCAGATAAACTGGGGGCAAAAGCTTTCAATCTCATCTTCAAACAAAGGCTACTGAAGCTCCCTACAACCGCCATCAACAGCCTTCTCGCAGCAAGTTGCACCAAGTCACACTCGAATAAAGTGCCAGGTAGGGGAAAGAGCTTGAAATCCAACCCTGAAAGATACAGGGAAAACTGCTCCATCCAAAGTCACACTGAAATAAATTACAAAACCCTGAACTGTGAGACTCTGCTCCTCTCGTCTTCAACCAGTACCTGCTCCAGCGTAGTAGCAGAGATTCACTTCACTTTATATGGCATTGCAAGCATAGCCTGGATAACAGCATCGGCTTGCCAGCTGATTCCCCGCACTTAGGAGTTTACATTTTAATGGCAGAAGGCAGCAATGCGCAGAACACAAAATGCCAAGATTGCTAAAGCTGTACTATTTCACAAAGCAAATGGGTTTTTAAGAAGTTCAAGACTGAGGCCATTTATTATTTGCACGCGTATTATTTTTCAAAGACTATTCATAGCACAGGGCAAAACAAAGCTACCAGGAGAAGCCTTGGTGGAAGAAGAGGATAGCAATAGGGGCAAGAATATTTACAAGGGACTTTGAAAACAAAATTTGAGTGCCATAAGCCGGGTCTTGAGCAAAGGATGGGGAAGACATGGAAGCAGACATTTAACAAAAAGCACTCAGAAAAAGCAAGGGGAGGAGGTTTTGACAGCCAAGTCTGGCTGGACTGCCAGGAGCAGGGCTGAAATACACAACATTAAGCATCTCAAAAACAAACCTCCACATGCACTCCCTGTGGTCGCTTTGCCCGGCAGGTACAAGATGCAGGACTCCAACACAAAAGCAGCAGCCCCAGCGCTGGGTATTCCCACCCACTGGGAACCCGGGGTTGCAGTGACCTGCTCCTCTCCACCCAGTACCTGCTTCTCTGAATTTTTCTGCTGCTTCTTTGGGGGGAAAAAAGTGCAAACACACAAAGTGACTCAAGATAAAGACAGCAGAGCATATAGAAGTGGTGACAAAAGGCAGGAGAAGTGAGTTTGCATTTCCTAGCACTGCTGGTCTCCCTACAGCAATAGCCTTTTGGAAGTCAGAACAAAAAACAAACACTTGTGCCTGTATCATTCCTTTGGAAAGAGCGAGATCCCAAAAGAAACATTGCTGCTGACACATTCAAAGCACCAGTTTTGTGATTTTTTTTTTCTTTGGATGTCTTGATGCATAGTAATAGACGGAGGCTGAAAACACAAGCCAGACGCTGTAGGAATATACAACTGCACCTCAGAGGACCGCCTTGTCACACAACCCTTTTCACCCTTCTGTTAGTTTCGAGGTGCATATTTCCATCTCTAAAGCTACCTGCACGGTCCTCATCAACACAAGAGTATCTGTGCTCAAAGACTCTTTCTGGCTTTCTCAGACACTCGATAGCTTCAGCATACACCTGCTTCCCCCCACAACACGACGCACCAGGATTTCTCTGCCGGTTAAACCCAGTTGGTATAAGCATGACTGGCAGAGATGTTCCTTACAATCCAGACGTGATACCACTACTGTAGACCAAATCTTTCACAAGATGACAGTGAAGTCGAGGATTTTATAGAAGAGACTACACAAAGAATGGCTTTGTGTTTTAATTTCTTTTTTTTTTTTTTTTTAAGATGTTACTACCACAAACAATAGATGCAGACTAATTAAAAGCAGGACCATGCATGCTATGGCTCCTTCCCAGCCCTCGAGCCTGCCTGATCAATGCTTGCGAGGACTTCAGGGAAAAAACTGCTTCTCACCAAGTGCTCGGATAATGCCCCAGCCTACAGGGACCCGATCCGTTATGGGTGTATGGCATTATTGAACAGTAATGAAATCCCAAACTAAATCCTTCTGGGCACATGGCAGCGAATCATCCGAACTCGAGACTCCTCCCATTTAATTCCCTGCTGCTCCTACTTCTCTGGCAGCTCTCTTCAGTTCGATCACCACCTGCTCTCCCCACTCCCCCCTCTCCCACTAATTCGTCATTTCTTTCAGCTCCTCTGTAGCACTTAATTACAGAGAAACAATGAAATCTCAAAAGCGTATCAAGCAAGGATTAAGCCAAGCTGCAGCACGATGTGCCACAAGCAAGCTGCTCTTTGGTAGCAGCAGCGGCGCGCCGTGCTTCTGGGACCAAACAAAGACGGGTTTCCATGCTTCTTTGAAGGGTACAGAAAACATAGCAACACAGCCACTTCAGGCTTTGCAGCCATACAATTTGTTTATGAAATACCAGGGTGGCAAGAGAAGGAAAGGAGAGAAGCTGCAGCAAGGATGCTAAACACATTGCTAAGTGAAAACAAGCATAGACAGAGATGACAACACCAACGGAGAGAAAAAGAAAAAGCCTGGCAAGGAAGTTTTTTTAAAGTTTAGGAGCGGGTAACAAATATATGGGGAAAGGTAAGGAGAGAAGTGATTTCCTTGGCTGCCATGAACCACCTTCAATGAGAAAAAAACCCACAAGGGCAGTTTGTGCTAGCGTGGCACAACTTAGACAAACCAACTCTCGCAGCAGACACCAATCTGCTGCCATCAGAGCCAACTGCAGTCCCACGCTGCTCAGCTGCAACGATGTGGGCAGCACTGGGTTAATGTTCTGTGCTCAGTCTGTGCTTGCTCCCTACCTCAAGACGCTCTGATCAAGGTCAGCGCTGAGGCTCTTCCCTCTGAGCCTCCCTCAAGATCAGCTTTCGGAGAAAACTCGCTCCCTAGTTAATCTCTTCCAGCGTAACGGCTTAGCAAAACAATGAAAAGTGGGCACAGCCAAATGCTTGCTGCTTTATTCCTGAAAAGCAGGAGATCATTTTGTTGAGGGCTGGGGGGGGAGGAAAGAGACCCCGAGTGGGTATTAAGATCTGTTTAATACCCCCTGCTTTCGCCTCTGTAGGCTCTCAGATATAGTTCCAACCCTTCGGATAGCAGCTGCAAAATTCCTGCAGAAGAGGGTCACGACCTGCTTTAGGAAACACTGCCTAAGGAGGAAAACGTACCCTTTCTAACCCTTGCTTCTTTCATGTTTTTATGACTAAATGGTTCTTTCTGAAATAAAACCAACCTCTGAAAGGATGAAACAACCCAAACCAAAAACTCCCCAAGCACTCAGTCACTGAAGCCTGATTTCCCAGGGCATCTCCTCTGCTCCCTCTGAATCCATGTTCCTCCGGAGCTCCAGCCTGAATTTCTTAAGTTGAGACCAACTCCCTGCAGAAGTCCACTGCCAGCCTTCAAGGGAGGCTGGAGACCATCTCTTCTGCAGTCACCTGCTGTCACATAACTTACATGAAGCTTGGTTTTGTTTGTTTTTTTTTTTTTTTTTTAAAAAACACACACACACCTCTCAGATCTCTATTAAAGTTGATGGAAACCAATGATTTCAAAGCTATTTGGAGGAGGGGAAAGACAGGGGACTGACCTGAGGACACAGCATGTTCATATACACTTTGTTTCCAAAGATAACTGAATCTTTGCAGCCACACAAGGACGTCGCAGCTCTCCCAGTTAACACTGGGATGAAGTGCACTGACGCCTCCTCCCAGGCCAATGCAATTGAAGCCAGAGGTCCTTTTGGCAGAGATATCTGCTTAAGCAATGGGAACAGGCACGCCAAACGGTCACACGACAAATACCAAATTCTGGCTCTAGAACAGTATTCCCTCACCACGTGCAATGGCAATTTAAAGCAGCTACACAGAAAGAGTGCTCACAAAACCACGTTGCCCAAGGTTTAAATCCATCCCACTACTGGAAACTGAGTTTCAGGCACACTGGGAGATATGAAAACTTCCCTTCGAGGTAACTCAG